ACGGTTCTATGGTTTTGCCCCAGTGTCGGTTTAGTCGTCTTATAACAACTGAGGATTAAAACTGATATAATTGAGCGACTAAAACTATCATCAAGTGCTATAACTAGGGATGAGTTTGGCATAAGTTGGCCCATGCACAAATGAAAATATTTCAGAGATCCTGTCCACTAGATTGTTGAAGATAAAACCAAAACCATGTGTTGATCTGCTTGTTGGTTATATATGGCATAGATTTCTAAGTTAAAAAGAACCATTAGATGAAAAAAACTATATTCCCTCTGTTCCATATTAATTGTTTCTTTATCCGAAGTCATATCGCTTATGAAATTTCTATATTTTCTACCAATAGTCCAATACTAATATCGAATATTCCGAATTAGTCATAACAACTCTTCCTTCACTAAATGCTTTTTTAGGAGGAAAGAAAGATAATGCATTTAACATCAAAATTATGCAAGGGTAGAAGGGCCTTTCTGTAAGTTTATTAATATGACTGCAGTTCTCTAAAATGTCAATTATTACCACAAAGAGGCTGATTTATTTTATGTAAGAAGAATTTGAAAAAAATTGGTCATTGAAAAGTCAATGAACAATGATAAATTTACGACTAAATTAATGGGAAAATGTGGCTTTTAATGCACATTGATCACAATAGTACTTTCGCAATGACAGTAGTGATTATGATGATGTTCAATTTTACATTCCAATAAGCATAGTGGTATTTTCACAATGACTGTAGTGACCAAGTGGTCATATGTTTGTCCATGATTTCTGTTTTACTTGATATTTTAGGGAAAACCCCCAATGTGGAATTTTTAATCCATTTATGTTATTGATTTAATGCATGCAGGGTCTCTGCCACTTCCGTGGTCTATCCGGATGAAGATTGCTCTTGGTGCTGCTAAAGGTCTTGCATTCCTTCATGAGGAAGCACAACGTCCCGTCATATACAGAGATTTTAAAACATCCAACATCTTGTTAGATTCTGTATGTGATTGATATCTTACACACTCAGTTTTTGAAGTTCATTCATATTTTTCAATAGTTTCTGATAAGACTATTCTTCAGGATTACAACGCCAAGCTTTCGGATTTTGGACTTGCCAAAGATGGACCGGAGGGCGATAAGACACACGTCTCTACCCGTGTCATGGGGACATATGGTTATGCTGCTCCTGAATATGTAATGACAGGTATACTTTATCTATTTACTCACAAGCAATAAGATAATGCCCCAATATGAGGGGTTTGGATAGGAAACAACCTAAATGGGTAAAAGTAGAGTCACTCATGTTTGGTTTGGGTCATGCAACTGTAAAAATCCCACACCGGTCAAGTATGGGCATGGCCGGTGGATTAAGCAAGGTGTTCCCTCCTCCTAATCGGCCGGTCTTTTAGGAGTGAGTTCTACACCTGGGCTTATGACACTGGTATGGGCCTAGTATGGGCTAGGTCCGTAACAATTGGCATCAGAGCCATCCTAGTCCCGACACTCGGAGTGGTGGCCAATGGAGTGGTGGCTTGGGCCCTGGGGGTAGAGATGGCAATTGTGACCGATCCAATGGATACCTGCACCGAACCGCCCCGGTCAAAACGGGAAAAACCGCATTGACCGGGTAACGGGTATGGGGCGGGGAATACCCGTTTTGTTTTTACGAGTAACAGGGCGGTTACGGTTTTATACATGCCCGCCCCATTACCCGCCCCGTACCCGCCCCGTTTATTTTAGTTATATTTTTATTACATTTTTATCTATTATTTGTCCCATGAGTAATAGAAGATGAGATTTTTCTATTTTCATTGAGTATATGGATAATAGATGTACTAACTATAATGTTTCCATGAGAGTTCATAATAGATCTTAATAGTCTTGTTTGATTATTATCAGATTTTTAGTGAATAATTATTTTTTCAGATTAAGTTTTTTAGGTTCAAATTAATTTATGTTGTCTTCTTTCTCATCTTGTAGATATACGAAACTTTAAAGGGGCGTCTCATTCTAGAGTTATCTAGGTGATGCCATTTTTTCGCCTTTTAAAATATTATTTTTATATTAAAATATCAATGACTCATTTAATAAAGCGATTACCCGCGGTTATACCCGTTACCCGTTGGGGCGGATACGGTTTGGGTAAAAATTACCCGTTGGGTAATGGGGCGGTTATGGGGCGGGAAATTATCAAATGGGGCGGGTACGGTTATATGTAAAACCGTCCCCGAACCGTCCCGTTGCCATCCCTACCTGAGGGTGCCGACCGTGACCGACATAGCCGTGACCAACGAGGACGTTGGCTCTTCGAAGCGTGGGGCATTGTAAAGATCCCACACCAGTCAAGTATGGGCTTGACCGGTGGCTTATAAGCAAGGTGTTCCCTCCCCCTAATCTGCTGGTCTTTTAGGAGTGAGTTCTACACCTAGGCTTATGGCACTGGTATGGGCCTAGTATGGGCTAGGTCCATAACTGCAACATATTGACATCCCGTAGGTAATGTAACATAACCTTGTTTGGTTCTTAATCATATTACCTCACCACAACATTGGCTATTTAACGTTATCATCATGTTTGGATTTTTAACTAAAAGATAATTACCTCTTCTTAGGTATTGTATGATTACAATTGAAATACTTTAGATCCTGTTCGGTTCAGGCTACCAATTGGCTCTTAGATTATTTCAACGTGGTCTTTGATAATACATTTAGGAGTTAGGACCCATGGTTGAAATGTATAATTGCTGGATCTGCAACAATTTTTAAAGGATATTTTTGATAACAAAGCCATGGTGCCTATTTGAACTAAAATGGTTGGAGTAGTTGAAGTCCTTGAAATGATTGAGATTGTTTGTACGTAGTATTATATAAAAATGTAGTTTTAAACTAGTTTATTTAATTTAAAGAGATAATATTGGAATTTTCATTGGCAATGCTAAAATATAGCTTATGATTAAAAATGTGACTAAAGTTACTATACATGTACTTTTGCAATAACTACGACGTAAGAATTGAACATAACCATAGTAATTTAAAGTGACAAAGTAACAATTTTATCATTTATCCTCATTTTGGTTATATAATTGGGTATTATTTCATTTCCTCCAATTTCAGCCAGTCTGAGAAGCCCCCCCCCCCCCACTATACTATCTTTTCATTATTTAGCAAGTACACTGAAATAAGTCAGGAGTTCAGTTAAAGAACAGGACGATAAGTCGATAAGACAAACCTAAAACCCTCCAAACAGGTCCTTATTTCGTAAACATAGATATGTTCAACAAAGTTTGTTGCTCCAACTAAATCATAATATATCTCATTCAGTATCTTTTTTTGTCCTCAGGACATTTAACATCAAAGAGTGATGTCTACAGCTTTGGTGTGGTGCTCCTTGAGATGATTACTGGCAGAAGATCAATGGACAAAAGCCGTCCCACCGGGGAGCACAACCTGGTTGAGTGGGCACGGCCCCACATTGGTGATCGGCGGAGATTCTATAGGTTGGTAGACCCTAAACTCGAAGGGCACTTTTCCATTAAAGGTGCACAGAAAACTGCACAGTTGGCGGCCCAGTGTCTAAGTCGGGACCCGAAATCCCGACCCATGATGAGTGAAGTTGTGGAATTATTAAAGCCTTTGCCAAACCTAAGTGACATGGCTAGCTCCTCCTATTATTTCCAGACCGTGCAAATTGACAGGGCCATGTCCAGCCCGAATGCAAAGAATGGGCACAGATCTCAGGCCCACCACCCGTTTGCAAAGCCAAGGAGCCTTTCTATACCAAATGGATCTCATGCTTCTCCTTTTCATCATCACCAGTTTCTGCAGAATTCACCAAAACCTAATGGCAAAGTGTAGGATTGGTTTGAATGTTTGGTTTTCTTCGATTCTTTTTATCCATATTAAGAAGATGCATTTTGTTTGCCAGGCCGGCATATGAAGAAAATCAGTTTTTATATACTTGTATAAAAGAGCTGCTTGGACTGTGAGAACTCCCTGGAAGGCTGGAAATGAATGTAATGTAAGAAAGGGAAAATTTCATGTGATGGGGGTAAATATTTTGTGTTTTAATCAGTTAATGTGTCAGCTCTCCCACTCTTACCATTGGGAAACTTCTATTGACAGAGAAGAACAAATTAAACCCTGTAAACCTCCGAACAATTGAACAACTAGGCATTAATCAGTCAAATTAAAGGAAAATGAAAACCCCAAACAACTAGTTGAAAATCTCCAAAAATGTATCGCTATTCACTAGAATTAAAATTAAACATGTGTTCACTATTCTAAAATGAACATGGAAATTGTTATAAACTAAACACCATCATATATATCCATCTGCATCAGCATGTAATCAACCATCTTAGAGAAGTGGATTAAGCACGGTGCCAACAAAGACAACAAGCCTGGACACATCCTCTCGAATGAAGAAGGCGAAGGGATGATCCGCTACAAAGTCTATTTTCTCTTCCTCAAACGAACGCCAATCAGATTCAAGTTCACACTTCATCTGATTAACCGCAGCAGCTTTTGTTCCTTTCTCATTAACATCAACAACACACTTGTGGATAATTTTTGAGACAATTGGGCTCTCCTCGAGGTTGACAACCATTTTATCTAGACCGCCGCGGGAAAACCGCACCCCGAGCTTCTTCAAAACACTTAAAGCATCAAAGCAGAAAGTTATTTTGAATTTCGGTATGCGAAACGCACCCACTCTAACTCGATTGTACGAAGCATGGCGCTCAAGAAAGCCAGAATTATTTGTGATGGTGTCCATCAAAGCTGGCAGGCCATTATTTGCATTAGGCAGGACGAAGTACATGGAGAATTGTCGCCCCATATCCGTACCACTCTCGTACGGTAGTTTCAGGATTTTGAAACCGTCGAATGCTTCTATATACTGCTTCTTATCGCTAGTCATAAAGGGCACTTTGATAGATGTTCCATTCATGAGGTAAAAATCTCTATCTTTTGTACGATTTTCATCAAACCTCTTAGCCCAATCTCCTCTAAAGTAAAGTGCGTTAGCAAGGATGATGATTGTTTCATGGGTAACCGAACTCTTATCAAGTAAATTTTTTACAAGGCCACCGGTTTTCCTTCCGATCCACAAGTTCACAGCATCAATTGCTTCACTTGTCTACAAAAGCATATATAAAGTATTTATAAAGCATACACAAACATACTTACATTGACTATTTGACTGATTGACCTGATTGACAGATATTAAAAAAAAAAAACAGAGCAAACCTTGAAGCGAAAGTCAACTGCTTGAGAAACAGCACCATAAGACCTTTCCAAGAGATCTTTATAGGAGGGCTTAAACGAAAGGGTTTGATCCATCCAAACGCCGTTAGCCGCCGACAGACTGGGGCCGCCGAGATGGCTGGCGTCAGCAAGAATATTGGTGAGGACGTGGAAGGCAAAAGCATTGAAATCAGCGGTGGAGTCGGATTTGAGGAAGGAGAGAAGGCGGCGGCGTGTTTTGCCTCTTGAGCCGGCGGCGGCCATACCCAAGACGATGTTAATGCAGAGGGGAGACAGAACGAGGTTGGAATCTGCTTTGACCAGGTCAGCGAAGACGTGCTTCGCAAAGATTAAGGAAGCGTCGGCCTGGTTGGCGATGAAACCGGAGACGTCCATGTCTGGTTTTCGTTTACGGTCGGAAGGCATGGCCGCCAGTATGATCGCAGCTGTGTTGAGGGCTTGGTACGTTGCCGCCGCGGGATTCCCGAGCTTCTGGTCCGTAATTATGTGCGTAGGGTTGGGGGTGTAGTGTTATACGATATATATAGTATTATTACGTATAGTAGTAGTATGAAGGAAGTAATAAGACGTACGCTGGGTTAACATGTTCATATACTATCGCAAAAAAATTAACGAGCATGTCACGGGCTCTTTAGCGAGCACGTAGTCCTTCCGTACCTTGACTTCTACAAATCTAGGTTACAATTAAACAAAATAAATGATTATCCGTAATGTGTATTATTCATAACAAAGAACACGGCTTTCAAAAAGAATAACAAAGATGGAATACTAATCACCACTAGTCTCTCTCATTAGCTTATGATTTTTTTAATTCAGTTTTTATCTTTGAAATCAACAATTATACAAATATTTTTTGCAACAATGATAGCATACAAAATGTAGTTTGTTGATGTAGGGCTTGCATGATTGAATATTGTCAATCTAAGATCTAAAATATCATAATTTTTATAATTTTTATTTTAAACTTTTTAAATTTAATTTGACTATAGTTAAGAACAAAACTTTTCAGAAGAAAAAAATTACAAATGTTCCTTAAACTATCATCACAATATCTTTTTGGTCCCTAAATTAATAAATTAAACGGTCATCATTGTATCATTTTGGTCCCTAAATTAATAAATTTGTCGTTTTAGTCCTTATTCTCTTTAGAACTCGTTTGATAACATTGAAATTGACTGATTTAGCTGAATCTACTTATATTTATGAAGTATGGGTGAAGCGACCAAATTATTGAAAAAATATATTTAAAATAGTATTATTAATAAATTAAGAAATACTACTAATTACGTGTATATGACTATAATAAATGTAATTTACAAAAATATGACTAGTGACTATATGTACTGTAGTAACTTAATCATAAACTCTTATTTTCAATTTTTAAACTTAAGTGACTATGAGATAATACCATAGTAAACATTAGTCATATATATATTTATACATAAGTTTCATTTATATTAAATTAAAAGTTATATGAAAAATAACTAAAAACATCATTTATAGTAACTTTAAGTCTTCAACCAATTCAGTCAGAAAAATAACTTTAACCTTACTTATTTTTATTATTACATTATTCAGCACGCCAAATTAAAAGTTGATTGTTGAGGTTGGTGGGTCGAAAACAACAAGGGTCACCAAACGGGCATTAGTCTTTATCAATCCAGTTTGTCCTCATTTGTAATAGTCAAGTTGACGAAATGTTCAAGATATTGCATCTAAAATTTGTGTGCATAGCATTTTATATTTAGATATTGATCACTTTTTTTATCGTCAAACCGAAGAAAATATTATTAAATCAATAAATCGTTAACCAGCTGGCTAGAAATACAAATAGGGGCATGATCATAATCAAAAACCTGATCTGAGATGTGAACATGTGACTTAGCTAAAGCATGAGCCACATGATTCGCAGACCTTTTACAGAAATAGATATTAAAAGAACTCTTAGTTGCTAACAAACTACGAATATCATCAATAATAAAATGAGTATATGCTCAGCCTTCTTGTTGCTTTAGGCTTTGTACCACCGTGAGTGCGTCTGTCTCAATTTCCACTCTTGACCAATCTGCTTCCATAGCTCCCAGGATAGCATCCCGGATCCCCATAGCCTCTGTTTTTTCAGCCGTCCATCCTGCTCGGCGTCCAACCCCTTGGGCTTTGATAACTTTACCTTCCTCATCTCTGGCCACCCATCTCCAGGCCCGAATGCCGCCCGCTTGATTTACCGCCCCATCCACATTGATTTTTATCACCTCTTGCATAGGTCATTGCCACTTGCCTATCTCCTTTCCCACCGATGTGTCTCCTCTGACCGTCGGTTTGTCTTGGACGTCCCGCCAAGCCCCAAGTATGCTGTCTGCCACTCGAACTACCGTAGCGGCTTCCTCTTCTTTGTCTTTCCAAACCGCCCCGTTTCTTCTTTTCCAAATGCTCCACAACATTGCAACAAAACAGCCACAGTAATCTTTCCCCGGCGGCTCAATATTCATTTTGACCCACCGGCCGAATGGGACCGAGAGTCCCTATGTCCGAACTCCCACGTTCTTCCAAACTAGCTCCACTTTGGGGCAAGTTCTTAAGGCATGATCTTCATCTTCGTCCCCTGCCCCACAATGTTTGCAACCCCCAACAATGTTTACTCCTCTTCTTTTCAACTTATCCACCGTAGGCAAAGTACCATCAATCACCTGCCATGCAAAATATTTAAATTTTGGTGGAATATTCAAAACCCATAAATTCTTCCACCCTTGCCACGCACCTTTCTGTAAATCGCCCATCAACAATCTATAGCAACTTTTAACAGAAAAAATACCATTTTTCTGCCCTGCCCACCCAAAGCCATCTGTTCGGTCCTGCAGACTTATTGGGATGCTCAGGATTTTTTCCATGTCTTGCGGATTAAAAATATGGCAGATTCATTCTAGCTGCCAGTTTTTTCCCATGTTATCCCGCAGTGCCGCCAAGTTCATATCTCTGAGATATGCCGGTTTTTCTGAAGTGATACGTCCAGATTCAGATCCCGGAAGCCAAGCATCTGCCCACACTTGGACATCAATACCATTACCAACTCTCCTTCTAGTATTTGTTTTGATGATCTCCTGGGTCTCAAAAATACTTCTTCAAATAAAGGAGGGGTTATTTCCCAATTTAGCAGCAAGAAAAGATGAATTCGGGTAATACCTGGCACGAAGAACTCTACTGATCAGACTACCCGGTTCGGTTACTAGTCTCCATCCCTGTTTTGCTAGCACAGCCAGATTAAATTCCCTCAACTTCCTGAAACCCAAACCTCCTGAAACTTTCGGCCTGCATAAAGATTCCCACCTCCTCCATCGTAATCCTTTCTGATCAAATTTCGACCCTCTCCACCAGAAACCATTCATTAATTTTTTCACCTCGTCACATAACTCTTTTAGTAAAAGAAAGACATTCATAGCATAAGTGGGCATAGCCTGACTCACATTTCTCAATAGGACTGCTCGACCTGCTCGAGATAGAAACCGGTTATTCCAGGTCCTAATTTTATTCAGAATACGTTTCTTCAGGTAACCAAGAATGACCGATTTATACCTCCCAACCAACGCAGGGAGCCCTAAGTAGAGGCCCTGTCCACTGTCCCTCGGAAAACCCAGCTGGTTATTGCAAAAATCTTTAAAGTTCTCCCCAACGTTTTGGCTGAATGCTAAAGTAGATTTAAAACTAACCATCTGGCCTGACAGCTCTTCATACCTTAAAAGGATATTTTTGACTGCTGCACACTCACTATTTGAGGCTTTAAAAAATAAAAAGCTGTCATCTGCGAAAAAAGATGCAAAACCCGAGGTGCTCCTCGACAGACAGACACCCCGTGCACCTCCCCAAAGTTCTCGGCCTTCTTGAGCATAGCACTAAGCCCCTCCGCTACCAAAATAAATAAATAGGGTGATAACGGATCTCCCTGTCTCAATCCCCTCTTTGGGATAATCGGCCCCAAGTGCTCTTTATCGAACTGGATATAATAAGTCACCTTAGTAACACAGAGCATAATAATCTCCACCCACCTTGCACTAAAACCCATTCGGCCCATTATTTGCCTGAGATATTCCCAACTGGCTCTGTCATAAGTTTGCTCATATCTAACTTAAGAGCCACATATCCATCTTTACGTGTAGTCTTCCGTTTCAAATAATGTTGTGTCTCAAAGGCCACAATAATATTATCAACAATAGATCTTCCCGGAATAAAAGCACTTTGGTTTTCTCCAACCAGATTCCCCAAGATCTCTTTTAGCCTATTAGCTATGATTTTAGAAAATATTTTATAAATCACATTGCATAAGGCAATCTGTAACACCACCCCCAAGTATTTGTACTTTATCAAATAGTGTATTGAACCCTGAGAAATGAATAAACGCATTCTACGCGATTGTAAAAACTTTCATCATTTCTTTTACGTGAATAGTAAAATTCGCGTGGGGGCCGCCCGATATTATCGGGGCCACATATTATATTCGTTTGGGTCAAGATAATATGTTTACAATGGTGGATATCCATGTCGGGCTATATAAATTATGTGAGTGTCCAGTTGTGCATATAAAGCCCATTTATCGGTACCGACGCACTAACAGATAAAAAGCCATAATAAATTATGGAGACCGCCAAATTAAAAGTTGGGGAATATACATTCATTCTAAAAGCAAATAATAGTTGGAAGAATGATACACATTTCGTTTGACCCAATAAAATGAAATATAGTTAAAACAGTCCGGAAAATACAACTTTCGGGACCAAGTGTACACTTGGGGACACAAAGGGATGACCTCCCACATATGTGGGGGCCACCCCACGAAATAATTGGAGACAAATGGAGGAAGTGGGCGGCTGGAGTGATGGAAGGAGGATGGGAAGGGTTGACTTGAGGGAAATGGCATCAAGTAAGGACATTGGGGACCATAGCCACATTATTTTGGAGGTAAAAGCCAAAGGATAGCCATATACTCTCCCCTTAGCCAATACATCCGACCCTATCACTCATCTTTGAGAGAGGTGCTCTGAAAATACTCACATCCACCATTGCCATTCGAACCAAGCTCAAGGAAGAAGAAGAAGGAGAAGGAGAGGAGGAAAGAGGAGGAAAACTTAAGGATTACCAAGGTAATGACTTCATTAACCCCATTCCTTTTTCCTTAATCCTCCCATATGATTATATAATCATGTTCCAGACCCCTAGGGTTACTATACATGTTATATGTGAAGAACAAGGGGTTGGAAGGTTGGTTCATATCCAAAACGGATTTAGAGAACAAAGTTGACCGGTTCGTCGGAAAATAACCTTTTAGAGGTTATTTGTGTTGATATGGGTTTTATGTTGATAAACCCTTGTTGTTAACTTGTATAAGGTACTTCAAGGACTTTCACGGAGTTGAAAGGGTCGCCGGAGTGTCGCCGGAGTTCGTTGAAGTTCGCCGGAGTTTCACCGGAGCTCAATAAGAAAGGCTAGAACTTCGTAAGCTTCTTTTGAGGTGAGAAGACGGCTATATGCTTTATAACTCTTGATTGAGGCA